AAATATTTTTCTGAGAACTTTTATTTTTCTCAGTGTTCAGGTCTGTCTCAGTCATAAATCAATTTAATAATATGAATGGGATATAAATATATGGATTAAATCCAAATGATAAATATGGTGTTGTCAAGTGTCCAAGATTAATATTTCTAATCTTATGAAATCACTTTTGAATTGAGTTTATTTTATGGGTCAAAGTTACAAATTTTAATATTTAAAATCGTCATAGCTTGAAACATATAAATCGGATTGATTCATAAAATGTTCTGTTGGATTCGTCTCCTCGAGACATATCCATAAAAATAAGTTTTTAACAAAAAGTCTTTATTTGGAAAATCCATTTATTTTTAGTCAAACGTACAAATATTCCTTATTGGATAAAAACTATTTTTGTTTTATAATAAATTTTAGGCCATATTTTGTGGCGTTACAGTTTTCTTCACAGAATTGGTCACCACTGGAGGATTGAAAGACAAAAAAGGAATACATACGTACCACACTCATAGGGGTACTGGAAAAATACTTTGTTGGTTGTGTTGTCTCGAATTATAGTCATTTGAGGTAAAAATAAAAGTAGAGTATGGAGGAGATTATGTAAGTGAAAGGTACTTGTAGGTGTGGTTAAATCACTAAAGCAGGTTCGAGAGACAGGAAAGGTATGACCTCTTGTAGTGGTGTTAGAATTGGTACCGTGATATACAGTAGGAGCTTGTACTTGAGATAAATCTGATGTCACATGAGCATTTGCTCTAGCATCAAGATGCGAGTTCTAGCTTGGTTCAGTAGATTGTTGTGTGTAACATGTCTTTGGAGGTCTAGAAAAAAGATTCATTATAGTTATGCCAATAGTTCCACATAGCAAGGCCAAGCTTCCCAAGCATACCACAAAGTTGACATACAAGTTCGCCATCGGGAGGACCGTTTTTTCGGCTTTTGTCGGAGATGCTAGTGCTGATGGTCTGCTGCTGCTGTCCGATAGAAAATTGTGACCATTTACCATTGCCACGTAAGTCGCCACCTCGACTACACGAATTGGATCAAAAATCACTACCACGATCGCAGTAATTGTTTCCTCGACCATAGTTGGAATTGGTGAACAAGGCTGCCTTGACATTTGATGAGGAAGCAGGATCACCAGTCTGAAGTTTTTTTGTTCAATTTGGACATTCAATTCTTTAGGCAATACCAAAGAAAAAACCTAATTAAAAGTTAATTTCCCGTTATTTGTACGAACATTTTGTTTCAATGATGCATATTCACCAGGAAGTCTTGGTAGAACACAAAGAATAATATCTTGTTTGGACATTACCTCATGAGCCAAATTAAGAGATCTGCCAATATTGAGGGCTGTGTAGAGGTACTTCAGCATAGATTCAGAGCCCTTGCATTGAGGCAGCATCGACGAGCATCCATTATTCATATGCCGGATTCAGCTTTGTGACGGGAGGATAATCCTTGGCTGACGTGGGAGCCTTTTCGTCGAGAAGAAAAGGTGGTGGTGCAACCTCCATGCTATCGACGAGTAATATCCTGACTCGTGTAACCCGATTCACGTGGTTAAGTGGACCAGAGCATAGTCATACAATAAAGGAAACTGCACGCTTAGTAAAACCGCTGAGTGACACTACAACGTAGATGTCAAAGAACAATCCATAAACTTATAATCACATAAATAATAATCATTGATACCGTTGAGCCAAATTATTGAAGTAGTCAATATTCTTATTTTCCCAAAATCATTCATATTTCACAAAATAAGTTTTATTCCCTTAATGTACCCCTTTTATCTTTTCCATCACTTAGATTCGTTCTCCATAGAGAAAGACCCAATAGGAATTCCTATATCTGAGTATGGGTCTGAACACTCTTCTCTTTAGGTTCAAAATTTGGTTCATGGCTTTCCTCAGTTTGGATATATATAGTATTCTGATTTTAGACACTCAAGGGTTGAAAGAACCTTGGTCGCCTGAACGGTTCATGGAACTAATGTAAGTGCATACCGAGCTCTTAATATTGCCTACATCAATACGCTCAAGCCTTATAATTGAGCAATAAACAATATTATTTAAACCATCCAAAAATATCATTTTGGTTTTTAAGAAAAACACTTAACATATATGTATTTAAGTGAACGACTTTCTATTTCAAAGGTTGGGGGTTTGGGACAGTCGATTGTTTGATCGTCAGTTATCGGGAGTTTGTGATTGTTGACCGTTTGGGAGCACAGTTGACCATTTGGTCATGGTTGAATTTAACCCTTCGGCATGAACATTGTGCACTGTCCATGGCAGAGGACCGTTGCCTTCTGACTATCGAGCGTCGACGGTCTTGTGATGAAATTATCTACAGGCGGTCCAGTAGGTAGACAGTCCCATGGGCGGTCAACCATGTCGAGCGTAGTAGTCTGCTCTAGGTTTGGGGTCCACGTTCTAAGGTCCATTTTAACTCCTTTAATATATATGTTACGCTATTTTAAACACTCAATAATAGTGATATGTCGCCATAGAGTCCATAGGCCGTAGTTTTAATATCAAGTTCTTACGAGTGTGAGCCGTAGTATATTATTTTGTTTTTTTGTAGATATCATAATTTTATACAAAACTATATGCTACAAATGATTCTAAGGAATCTTACATTTGACTTGAGTCTCGGCACAAACCTTAAGATTGACGAGGAACACGACAAGATCCTAACACCTCGACATACGGTCAATGAGCGGTCATCATTATCTATTTCGAGCTTTCAGAGTCCTGAGATCTTCTCTTTGAACATTGGAGTCAAAGAGATAATGAGAATTAATTGTGGAAGAGGGCTTGGTGATCGAGAGAGATAACCACTTTACAGGAATTTCTCTAAGTGTTGTGAGTGAGGAGTGAAGGGAATAAGGTCATTTTATTGATGGATGTGCAGGGGTGTTTGAGGGAGTGAACCAAGTCATTTCATCTCGAAATTTATCTTCATTAAAACCCAAGTGGAGTGAGGGAGAAAAGTGGCAGATGTTGGGTGGTGTCTAAACAAAAAGGTGTGAAGGGTGGAGGAGGTACGTTTAAGAAATGTGCAGCAGTAGGGGTTAATTGGAGAGGAATATTTGTTGATTCGGAAATGAAATATTCTCAAGATTTGTTATATAAAATTCTTCATCTGGAAGAAATAGTTTATCTATTTGAATTTTAGGTTGTTTTCTAAACAGGGTCCGATTTTGAAACTTATTGCATTTTTGAACTCGAAAGAATAAATACAATCTAACGATGTATTCATAATATGTTTCCTAATACTTTTATTTTTCAGACCTCTTAGAGCCACATGCTCAAAATTAGTTAATCCCTCCGTCCTCCACAGATCTTCCTGCATACTATTTATAATATCAAATTTAACTCACTTTATTTGCTTATTTTTACTACTCATTGTATAAAATAATATAAGTCTCGTCACCTCTATTCTTGTCCAATCATAATGTGTAATGGAAATATCTTACGTGGACGGAGGGAGTATTTAATTTAATTTATTTATTTATACCAGTTTTCATGGCATTACGACTCTCTCCCTGTAACGCCCCAAAACATACCCTAGAATTAATAATGAATAATTATTCAATTAATCAAATTTGTTTTGATTAAAATAAATTATTATTGGTCTTTGGGCCGAAATGAAATATGTTCTGATATCCAATATCACAATCTTGGTGAATCTCATAGAGATAAATCCAATATGTTGGTTTACTGTGTGATCTTAGTTTGGGAACAAGAGTATAAACCCAAATTAGAAATAAATGAAGAATTTGTTGATGATATGAACTTTAAAATGATTTATTGAAATAAATCATGAAAATAAGTTATATGAATTAAATGTGAGAACTTTTTTTATGAATAAAGGGTCAACTAAATCAATTTTGACTCTGTCAAAGTCAAACACTCAAAAATATGGTGTCTAAAAAAGTATACCAAATAAATATAAAAATTATATCGTTGGATAGAGCTCGACTGTCTGATCACAACGGTGGAAACGAAATTCAATTCGGAGAAAGTTGGACCAAAAAGTGTACCCCGACTGGGACCAATTTAGTCCCAATCAGGGACTTGCCTTTGGAATCGTAGGAATCGGCCGTCTGCTCCACTGAGACGCCAAAACAGGAGAACAAATGTCATCCCATGTCTTCTTTCTCTTCTCTTCTTCTATATAATGGAAACCAAACCTTCACAAAACTTCACCATTTGTTCTCAAATTTCTTCTGAGAGTTAGCTTTGAGTGTGGAGAACGCAATGGTGCTGTCATTTTAGTGTGAAGTTGCCGGAGCTAAGAGTAATCCTCGCCGGAAGTTTCGCTGGAAAATCTTCAAAACCTCCATTAAGCTTCAAGGTAAGCCCGCAGATATATCTAATGACTAGAATGTTCATATAGATCGTTTCTATGTTCATAAATGGTTGTTTGGTTGAGTTTTGTGTTTGACATGTTTGAAGAACTAAGAATCATAAACCTTGAATTTGATGTTAAAACTATGAATTAATGATAGCAAAATGATCTATAAACCTTGGAGAACATTTCTATATAGTATAATTGAAGTTTGGAAACCAAAAATGGAATTTTCGAAATTGGAGTTGCGAGGTAGAAGACGATGAACAGTGGATGAAAATACCCAGGGAGGATCAATCATCCCTCCTAGATCGATCCAAATGAAGAATTTCTCTATGGAGGATCGATCCAAAGTGTTGGATCGATCCCCCGACCTTTCTGCTCTGAAAATGCTTCTGAATATGTTATTTTTGAACCCAAAAATCCTATTTTTGATACCAATCAATTATGATTAATATAAATATGATTTCTTGAAATAAAAATGGTGTTTTGACAACTAAAAGGACCTTACGTGATGCATGACGGTAAGCTAGGGTGTTAACACTCGACGTTAGGCTGCTTATTGTTATTAGATATTATGATGATTGATTGATTGTTGATTATAATGAATATTATGGAATAATGATGATAATTATTCTGAATGAAATGATGATTATGAATTATTGAACTAAGATTCAAAATAAATGAATTAATGAAAAATGATTTGTATTGTTAAGGCTATCTAGAAGACCTCTAAGATAGACCTCAAATTAGATTGGGGCTTGCGGGTATAAATATGTATATTCGGTGGCCTTGGGTAAAAATGTACGTACGGGATCCACGAACCAAACTAGAGGCACTCGTTTGGGGATACCACCCAACCCAACAGTTAGTATTCTACTGTTCGATTTTCTGGATTTGTACCTTAAGCGAAGGCTAGTTTAAGAGTTGGTAAATCAATCGGAATATATGTACCTTAAACTAATGACCTAGCTTAAGAGTTAGATAGAAGTACCTTGAACTAGAATTAGTTTAAGAGTTGGTAAATATCAAAAAGATTGGCCTTAGACTAAGCATAGTTTAAGGATACTATTGAATATTGAATATGAATGTTGAATGTTGAAATAATGAAATAAAAATATTGAGAATATCATGAATGAATCATATATTGTGTGCATAATATTAAATGGTTGTTTGTGAATTGAGATTCAGTTTATGTAGATGTTCGACGCTTTAGATATGCTTACTCAGCTTCATCGCTGAGCGTGTAGTGTGTTTTATTTGCTACACGCAGGTAGGTAGAATGAGTAACTGACATGTTCTTGGCAGCGGAAGAGGCGAGACTGTCGTGGTGGAATTTATGATTTTAAATGAATAATTGTGTTGTTATGAAACATGGTTTAAATTTGCTTCCGCATTATTATTAAACACTCCGTATTTTACTACAGTTATGTATTGAATAATATTTATGATGAATAAAGGTGTTGAAATGTTTTAAATCTTTACGATTTCCAAATTAATACGTTAGTTCAAAAGGGGCTGCAAACCTGGACAGATTAGGGTGTTACACTCCCCTTCAAAAAAAATCTTCCTCAAAATTTTCGTGAGGTCAATCATGGAACAAATGCAGGTATACCGTCCCCATGAATTCTTTTGTTTCCCAGGTGGCTTATTCCAAAGTATAGTTTTGCCATAAAGGTACAATCTTGTTTGGTAGAACCTTTAGTTCACGAGCAAGTATCTCTACTGGTTCCTCTTTATTATAATGATCCCCCATCGAGCGTTACAGTGCCTGGAGCTTTAAGATGTGAGGGATTCGATGGTTATCACTCAACATCTAAACATGAAATACATTGTGAATCTTACGTGGTTATTGGGGTAACTCCAATCGTTAGGCCAATGGCCCACACACTCAATAATATCGTACGGGCTAATTAACCCGGGATTGAGTTTCCCTTTCTTTCCCAATATTAGGACTTTCTTCCAAGGAGAGCCTTTCAAGAATACTCGATCTCCCAACTGGTACTCAATGTCTTTACGCCACAGGTCCGCGTAGGATCTTTGTAGATCATCTGCCACATGAAGTCAATTTTTGATGATTTAGACCTTTTCTTCTGTTTCTTGATCATTTTCAAAACCTTTAAGTCTTCGTTCGCTAAGTTTTGTCTAGAAAATTGGTGTTCTA